GCCAATTTTTAGAGAAATAGATATATCCGTAGAGGAAAATACATTACACCCTGAGAAACTAAAAACAAGCATCAAATTTCAAAACGTTTTTTTGGAGAACAAGACTATAAGATATTTAGTGTTCGTGGAGAGTAAAAGAGAGAATTCATTATATATCTAAAAAGTCTGGACATAATTTTTCTTCAAAAAAAAAAAAAAATACTGATGAATATTAGATGTATATTCAAACAAAAAGTGTCTATTGTGGTTTGTATCTTATGCAATTACTTAGTTTCTCACACTAATTGTCTGTGTGTGTGACTCTACTTTACTGACAATGTATCTTGTTAGGGACCCCATGTTCAGCTTTCAAACACGAACACATGGTTTTGCCGTAAAATATTTAGTTTTAAATGGTGTAACTTCATGTGCACAAATTTCGTACTTTAAAATTTTTGCAGGGGTTAATTAAACCTGTTCCATTGCACACCAAGACCACTCTAAAGGCCTTACAATATAGCACATGTCACATTTCCACGTTGTAAAAATTAGAGACTTAATACATGGTATTCAATCTTAAAAATGACCATGCATCTTCAACCAAGCTGTCTAGTGTGATCTAAACTACAAAGGATGCGTAGTTCATTGACCATCTGTCATGATGCGCATGCATATAAAGGAGGTCAAAGATTGAGCGACTTAATAACCTAAACAGCATATGTGGAACTTAACACCTCCAAGGTTATGCTGAACCAGAGCCTAAACCAGATTAAACACCCACGGAAACGCGAACAAAGAAATATAACAGTAGGAGCTAACCACAGAACATAAAGGACCTAACAGGAAGTATCACTGCAACACCAGAATCTACCACACTGCCATAAGCCGACTAAGAGCCTCACGCGGTATAAGTAGAATCCTAAATTGAAGGCGAATTAAAAAACTGAGACCCAAGTTTATTAGTTTTGCAAACCTCCAGGTTACTTCATAAACTAAAACTAAGTTACTGAGTAATAGGAACAGACAACACATAGTAACAGTCAAAGTCTCCAGGACGTCTACACAATCTCTCAACTGGGCATTCTGATTTTACCATTATTTTATCCCTAAACCCCCTACGTGTTACTATATACTATTTACTTGGACCTCGAGATATAAACACAAGACTAAACCAGAAACTACGACCCTAGCGACGTAGAGCACAAATGTATCTAAATTTAGGATCTTCATAAAAGCTCGTCCTTCATACAACTAAAAAAGAGCAAATGAGCTACCAGTCAGAGACAACTGAACCAGAACTAAAAAGGCAAAGTCAAGAAAATCACTTATAAAACGGTAGCTAAATCCAAAACCAACGAGAGATCTATTAAAGGCAGACTATTATTACTGCAGTTTCTTGTGAACTTGTTTGAACTTACATGGCGCGTCATATTCCTTAGAGAGCCTGGACCTGCGCAAATCTATAGTGTGTATCGTGACGACTAGCACTTCACGTGAAATTGTAATTTTTGACAGAATGCCATTAAGTCTAATAATGGAAAGCAAAGAAATACTGTCTCACTGTCGTCTTGTGTTCAGAACAGTGTAGAGAAAGCTTTAAAGATTGATGGTTAGTTCAGATACAGGAGATGCCTTTCACATTTCCCTCGGTCATTTTCTGATTAATCACAGTCTGTGCGGTTTATGGTGGAAACTGCCATATCTCAGAGTCAGGCAAATAATATTTAAAAAAATGAAAGTATAAAACTCGCATCATAAAATACAGTGTCGACCCTTATTGTAACAGCGCCTCACTGTAAACATGAGGCAATTGGGCACTATTAAATAGTCAAGGGGTGAGTTTTGGACCATGACGTTAATATTGACTTGGATTATGTTAAATTATAGATGCCATTGCACAAAAATCTGTGCATTTTACCATTTGAAAGCGTAGAATGCTTACCCAATTTTGTCAATTTAATCTGTAGTTGTACATGCATAATTAACTTTAGTTAGAATATGTCTAATCAGTGTGCAGATTGCCCATCATATTGCTTGATGCTAGAGACCTATTAGCACATAAACATAGAGGATATAACTAATAACTTAGATATAACAATCCTGCTGAAAAGATTAGTGGAGAATGAGAAGCCGCGTATCCAGTTACTCTAGATTATTGTGTCTTATTTACTATGTTATAAATAGTCCTGCACCTACAACTGTACAAAAGAAGTTAGGCTACAAGTCACTAAATAAAATCAATAAACTAGCAGCCATATTTTGCCAGAAAGAGAAAGGAACTGCAAATCTGCTGAGGTCGATCTATCACACGCCCTGTCTGTAAACATGTCCACAAATCTCACTCTGCCTCTCTGTACGATATTTTCACAATATACATGCAGTCTAACAAAACAGTCAATGTGCTACTTTTCCTCATAAAATGCCTTGACAAGACTTACTAACCCAAAGAACTAAGATTTCAAAGTGCTTATAACATTTATTTCTTCATGTAGTCTTTGTTGAAACAGAGCAAAGGATCATGCTTTATGTAGTTCCCTCTGTTTTTTGGCCATTGCTGCATCATAACTATTAACTTATGTGACTTAAAACACTTGCGATGGTTCACGATATTATTGAGACACTTTTGACGATACAGCATTGCGATATTTTGGTTATTTTTACATCCTTAACAACCACCAACTGTCCAATCAGTGCTCTCATCTGGCATTCAACCTGAGGGGACACCAACTACCACAACTGCCACACCAAATTCTTTACTGGAACAGGGAGACATCACCACACAGGGCTTTGTAATTATGTGCACTCCAAGCCTTTTATTAATTCCTTTACACAGGACTTCATAAAAAAGGGCAAGGCGAGGATTATTGCAGTCATGTTTTATAATATATTACTGAAAAATAATCTTTTTTTCCCTACTGGTCTTCGGAAATCCCCTGAAGTCCAAATCACAACATGTGCAGATGCCAGACGCCATTCATTCATATGCTCAAGGTCAAGGGTTAGGGTTTGACCTCTGGGGTCAACTGGCAGGCAGTGGGAGCAGGGAGTCACATGGAGTGGAACAGATGAGTTTTTACACATTTAAACTGAGTATTTGTGATAGTGTCATGCCTGTTGCTGCCTATTGACATTAATTAGACAGAGATCAATGGATAAAAAATCTAGAGAAAAACAGGGAGATGAGACAAAAAAAAAACATAATTTTTCCTCATATTGATGAATTTTCATTTTGTGTTATTATAAACAAATAAAAAAATGTCAATTTCCTGAACAAACAATGACAAAACAAAATTCATGAAAGTTTTTGGACTGAAGTGATTTTAAAAGCTTGCCATTTTCAAATTGACTTGTTAGCACTGCAAGCCAAACCCACCAACAAAAGTGGGCACGAGGCTAATGCTAACTGTGAAATTAGTAAGAGAGACTGAAGCTAAAGTCTAGTAGCATAATTACGCATTTTCCTAGTTCCCTGTGTTTTACAGCTATTTGAATGTCCTCTTGTGCCTCTTATACATGATGCAGCAGTGACAGCACATAGACATTCGGACATACAGCCCAGGGACAGTGTGTGCCTCAAACAGCACTGTGAAGGATTAGGCCTATAAAAAGGTGTCTGGTTTCCTCGCCTGAGGGCTGATGGCTGATATCACAGCTCATAGAGTGGCTGTACACCTCATTATCAACACTGGGGCTCCCTGGTGCTTCCACTGGCCCAGCATCGCCCAGGGCCACACCGCTAACATCAAACACATGCACCACACACCACACGCCTTACAGATGGCGCCT